AGCTGCATATTCCAGGATTGGTCTTACATAAGTGGTATACAGGGTTCTGAAAGATTCCTTACACAAGTTTCTGAAGGCAGTTCTTATGTTGGCCAGTCTAGCATATGCCGCTGATGATATTCTTTTGATGTGGGCCTCTGGGGACAGGTTCGGTGTGATATCAACCCCCAGATCCTTCTCTCTATTTGATTCTTGCAGGATTTCCCCTCCCAGATGATACCTTGTGTTCAGCCTCCTGCTCCCTTCGCCTAATTTCATCACCTTACACTTTCCAGAGTTGAACTTCAGCAGCCATTTTCTAGACCATTCCTCCAGTTTATCCAGGTCATCCTGTAGTCTCTGTCTATCTTCATCCGTCTTGATTCTTCTCATAATTTTTGCATCATCAGCAAACATCGAGAGGAATGAGTCTATACCCTCTGGAAGATCGTTCACATATATTAGAAACAGGATGGGTCCAAGTACTGAGCCCTGTGGGACTCCGCTGGTGACATCTCGCCACTCTGATGTCTTCCCCCTCACCGTTACTCGCTGTTTCCTGTTGCTTAAGTACTCCCTTATCCACTGGAGCACCTTCCCTTTTACTCCTGCCTGTTGCTCCAACTTTTTTAACAGCCTTTTATGGGGTACTGTGTCGAAGGCTTTTTGGCAATCCAGGAAAATGCAGTCGGCCCACCCTTCTCTTTCCTGCCTAATTTTCGTTGCCTGGTCATAAAATTCTATTAAACCTGTGAGGCACGATTTACCATCTCTGAACCCATGTTGGTGGTGCGTTACAAAGTTATTTCCCTCCAGATGCTCTACGAGCCTTTTCCTCACGATCTTCTCTAGCACCTTGCATGGTATACAAGTTAAGGAAACTGGCCTGTAATTCAGTGCCTCTTGCCTGTCACCCTTTTTGTATATTGGGACCACGTTAGCTGTCTTCCAACTTTCTGGTAAGTCTCCTGTTTCCAGTGACCTGTTATACACCATAGAGAGTGGCACACTTAGTGCTTCTGCACCTTCCTTTAGTATCCATGGTGAGATTCTATCAGGCCCAACAGCCTTTGTCACATCTAGCTCCAGCAGGCACCTTTTGACCTCATCACTGGTGAGGTCAAATTCCTCCACACACACACACAAATGTGTGTGTGTGTGTGTGTGTGTGTGTGTGTGTGTGTGTGTGTGTGTGTGTGTGTGTGTGTGTGTGTGTGTAATGCATGTGTGGGATCCCTCTCTTTTATGTAAATGTGGAGGGTCGATGAGCTTCTCTTCCCCTGCCCTTACCTCAGTGAGCCATGGCAGGCTAAACATGAGGTGTTTATCCTCGACTCGACACACACATACCTTAGGGGCAGGGGTGAGAGAGAGAGAGAGAGAGAGAGAGAGAGAGACGAGTCTAGGGTGAGGGGTGAGAGAGAAATGAGTGTTGGGTGAGGGGAAGAGGGTTAGTGAGTTGTTGAGTAAGGGAGAAGTGTGCTGATCACTGGCTTCCGGGTTGCTGATATCGACTCTGTTGCAAGACATGTGCACTGAAAGTTGGATGGTATAAAGTTATGTTGTGAAATACTTAATACATCAACGTCATAAACTGCCGGGCAAACGAAGGCAAGTTTAGTATGAGCCTGTCCACTTGCGGACGTGTTCAGAGTGACAGGTCACCTCTCGTGAAGGTTAGACAACCGTCTCAAAAGTCTCTCGCCGTTGGAAAATAGGATTTCCGCTCCGCAATGGCATACGTCATGACTTCTCATGACGGGGTGACCCCTCCCACACGGGGTGACCCTCTATGTGGGAGGATCACCATGCACACGGCCATGTGCATGACTGGCAGAAACTTTCCGTAGTCAGAGCTGTGATACTGTAGGCAGGAGGAGGAGGAGGAGGGTGAGCCTTAGAAAAACACTGACAGAGAGGGTTGTGGCGCTGGCGACGTGTTTTTCCTGTCGTCTTGAGTACAGCGACTGTGGATGATATGTTGGGGAGAGTGCCAGCAGGGCGGCACGTGAGGCCCCTCTTATTCTGGCACTGTTTGATTCACCACCACCGTGGTTGACGTAGCCAAAGGATGAGCTGGTGACCCCTCCCTCCCTCATGCCTTATCACCCCCTCCGCCCCCCACTCCCAACGCCTAGGTATATCCAAAGCTCTCTTCAACTCATTCCTCACCACTTCACAGCGATTAGTTTACGTTGACAAGGAGCTTACGAACGATCCATGCAGACTGGGAAAATAAAACAAAACAGGCAAAGAAGTACAAAATGTCACAGACACCCAGCTCAGAGAACGTCCCCATAACAGTTAACATGAATAACGACACTTGGTTAAGTAAGTAAGTAAGTAAGTAAGTAAGTAAGTAAGTAAGTAATTATCAAAAGAAGGCACCAAGCCGGGAAGGCTACGTAGCACGATCAAATGTGAGGTTACCAAAGAGAAATCAAGCGAGAAACAGTAGCACTAGGCGAGGCTACCAATAATATAGAAACTGGAAACCTCTGGGAAACTTGGAAAGAACAAATCCGAGACAAGTTTTTCTTAGTGTAAGAGATAAAGAGAGAACAGAAAATGTCGCATTGAGAAGAACCAGAAATGACAATATATGTAAATGCAGTGTTAGGGAAATATGTAGAGATACAGGCACACGGGAATTCAAAATAATAAATAATGTAGCTACCAACATATTCTCTTCTAATTATTATTAGAAAGAGAATATGTTGTTTTGTAGATACACTGTCGAGGTTTTCACATAGAAATGCCCAAGATCTCAATAGATGAACGGGATATTGTGTAGGCAGAGGATCTTATATCTTCTAAACCAGAAGAAACGAGATACGGTGCGATAAACAAGGGAATGTATCCTATTGAAACTGGCAATGCAGGCTATACTCGCTCCCAGTTCCCAACCTCACCACGGCTGTGACATCCAACACTACACCAACTACCAATACTAGTCAGAACTAATCAAATACCTACAGGTATCATAAAACAAGACACCTGCGCACCAGTCGCAAATTTGTCAAATGATTAGGCTCTTTCATTGTGCTAAAAACTTTCCAAAACAAAAAAGAGTCCAGCAGCTGGCAATATTAGATGACCTAGTGGGCCCTGGGGTTGTAAAATGCTGTTTGTTATATTATTATTATTATTATTATTATTATTATTATTATTTATAATTATTTGAATTCCAACAAATCGGTTATTAAAATTGAAGTTCCTGCAAATATATTCCAGAATGGTTTCCCATTCTCGTGAGACAGGAAGCCTGTTAGATTGATCGATGTCCCCCCCCCCCCTTAGGTCTAGGGCAACGAATGACCATCTTAGGAAGTATCTCACATCATTTGTCTGACTCGGGTACCTATTTCCTGCTAGATGAACCGAGGCATCAGGTGGAGGGAAACGTACTGGAACGTCTCGCTCTATCCGGGAATCGAACTCTGGTATTGCTTGGCGGACTTTCCCTTTCCTTGTCAGTCTGTTTTCGTATTGTCGTACTAGTGTGATATTGTTATCTTTACTGTTCAAGTCTGTGTACAAGTGTTCAAGTCAAGTGTGTGTGCGCGCGCACGCACGCACACACACACACACACACACACACACACACACACACACACACACACACACACACACACACACACACACACACACACACACACACACACACACACACACACACACACGTACACGTGAATATCATGAATACCAATATAACAAAGGGTGGGTGGAAGCGTGAGACAGCTGAATACAAGACGCATGAGAAAACATTTTTTCTTAGCGTAAGAGTACAGTAGTAAAGAAAATGGATGAATTAAACGAGCAGGTAAATTTAAAAGCCAACTCCATTCACAAATTTCAATAGTAGATTGCTAAAGACCCTGCGATAGAAATTTAATTCAGAAGTCATGGTATTAGATGACCAGTGGGTGGAAAGGTGGAGTTAAAGACCTGAATGGTCAGCAATCTAGACGAGTACACATGCACGCGGCGGTTACCTTGTGATGATTTCGGGGCTCAACGTCCCCGCGGCCCGGTTCTCGACCAGGCCAGGCTGTTACCCCTGCCAAGCCTCATTTTGCTCAACAAATTCTCATTCTGCTCTCCGTTCATTGGAGACGTTCGCTACAGTATACCTCCACACAGCTACGTTAAACTTGCATCGCGTTTTGTATCTAATATTATCTAATTAATATCAGTATCTAATGGCATAAAAATAGTTAATTATCAATGAACACTTTATTGAGATCAGAAACACTAAAATGCTTGAGAAAAACCATTATCAAGATCATATTACATATTATTTAGGCTTTTATCAAGATAACAAATTCTTGTAGTGCTGTCTTTAAGTTTGGCTTGCTGGATTTTTCAGGGAATTTTTTGTTTTTCTGGAAAGAGGTGTATTAAGATGGTATAGCCAAAGGTAGATAGAGGTGATATTATAGAGTAGATAGAGGTGTTATTAATTCTGATAGAATTTACCTACTTAAAATTATCTGTTAGATTAAGGACCTGCCCGAAACGCAGCGCGTACTAGTGGCTTTACAAGAGTGCAATTACTGTACCATGCTATGTATTCTCACAAACCCAATGTACCTTCTTGTATATAAATAAATAAATAAAATAAAAGGTGAGGTATTGAAGGTATGGTGGCGTGGGTGAGTGAGCCGGTCCCAGCTCCACCGTCTGGGTGCTGCTCACCAGATGTGGCTACAGTTGCCAGTTGGCTATACGCAGTGGTGGGTGTGAGAGGGTGCTCGCTGGACGCTGCGGACCACACAATAACAAGGAACACTGCGCTGTTCTTCGGTGAACCCACTTATGGGTGACTCGAGTGTGGCTAAGAGCGAGTGTGTTTTGGAATAATACTGTTGAGCCAACGTGACAAGCGATGCTACCGAGATTTTGGTCCGAGGGAGGTGATGCATTTTTAAATCCCAGTTAATTAAGAAACATGTTCTGGCAACTATAGCTTCAGTCCCCAGGGAGCCGTTCTCATTAGACGGTATTGTTATTGTGTTCGGCGTTGTGTCACGTGGTGTGGCGGTTAATGGTGCAGTGTGTGCTGCTGTAGTGTAGGTAACAATGTTGAGAACCAGACATAATTAAGGTGTGTGACCAGGAGAGGACGCGGTCAACTCATGGATCCCGAGGTTGGCAAAAAGTCAAGGTCAGGGATCTTCTTGTGCTGGTTTTGTTAGTGGTGGTGGCGGGGATGCCGGTGTTGCGGGCTCGGAGTCCCCGGGTGGAGGGTGGGCGGTGTTATCCTCGAGTGTGTTGGACCGCCGTCAACCGGGCCACCCACTGGGGGGTCGCTGCCCACCGCTCCCCCTCGCCTGATGGTGACCTTGTCCTCCCCCACCTGTGTGCCAGAGCCGTCACCTGCAACAGTTGGCCAGTGTGCACCTTGGCACGGAACACTAGACTGGCCCCGCTGCCCAGGTACCCAGGTAATCCTGGGGCCGTTTACACCCATCCCGGGCACTGCCACCAGAACGAATGTCTGGTCAACCATCCTTCCCGAAACCTCAAAATGCGTGCCAATTTTGACAACAACTCTGTTTCCCAATTAAAACAAATATCTAACAAAAATCCCATTAAAGGTGCGAGTGGTGGCTTTTTTGCGTGCGACAAGGCGGAACAGCTCGCCTCGGGGCATCACATTGTGTCATACAACTCTCTATATTCTGGGAGTGACGACCACAGCACCAGTGATGCCAGCAGTGACACGCACAGCTCACGTGACACACTTAGTGCCAGTGAGACTGTCAGCGCTAATGAAAATCTCAGTGCCTGTAGTTGCAGTGACGAAGACGATACTTACACAGGCCTAGAACATTGTGAAGACTTAAGTGTTGATGTGGGTTGTAATTTAGTTTCTACTGTCAGTGTAACATCGGGAGCAAAGAGCATCAAGAGTGCCGTAATCGTGCCGACGATGGAGGCAGTTGGGCAGCGGTATAAGTTACCCAGGTGTAGCGATGGTCGTGGCGGAACTGTAGCACAAGCAGCAGAGATGAATGGAACGTGTCACAGGCGGCGGTCACCCACCACATACATTCACAGCCACACTAGTCTGAATGTCGGAACTGAACAAAATCATAAAAATGAGCTTCAGCAATATAGTGCTTGTGATGAAAGCCGATATAACACGGTGCCATATAAAAACATCCGTAAACAGACCAAATCGAGCACGCAGCGATGTGGAGGGACGTCGAAAGCTGACATAGCCACAAACGCCCAGGCACCACCTGTGTTAAGACAGACCACCTTCACCGTCACCAGAGAACACATTAGTTGTGCTCCTTCAACTGACCTCACACCGGACTCGGACCAGGGTCTCGCCACCTGCCGCCGGGGACACCGTAATTCGTACACTCACCCCAGCAAGGCTGATGCTCCAGTGGCTTCAAGCAGGCGTGCGTCGCGCCCCGTACCTGATAATGGTGTTGAATCACTTATTCGACTAGTCTCTCCTGCTACCCAAGGTGCTGCTCTGAACACCCCTCACCTGCTGGCCACGACGCCCTCGACCCACAGGAACAAGCAGAACCTTACGCCCACCTTTCCCTTATATCGACGGAAAATGTGTAAGAGTGAGGGAAGTGTGGGTACGCCTGAGGGCGAGGAGGTGGGGGGAGGTCGGGGGCGGCAGTGCTCCCGGCCTGGTGACTGGCGCCAGTTGCCTGTTGACAAGGTGCGTCCTCGATGACCCTGCTGTTGAACACGCTCATCACTTTTCTAAAACCTTATTAGTGCTAAGACATTATCTCCTACTAATTACACTAGTTTACTATTGACTTATTCAGTGATATATTGACTTCTGGTTTGGTTCCTGCTTTTAATAATTTGTTACATCCGTACTCATCCCGTGAGCAGTAGTTTATTGTGCACCCTATACTCATTCTATGAACAGTAGTTTACGCATCCCATACTCATCATATGAAATATATTGTAAAATACATTTCTGCACATTGATAGTGTATGACATTGATATTATCATATACAAGCAACAAGATATAATAAGATAACTGATTATTCGAAATGTAAATTACACAGATATTTATTTGCATATTAAATTTGATCGAGTAAAACAGGGGTTCTTAACATTATACAACAACGGGCCCCAATGGAAAACCGCCGAATCACAAATACACAAGCTAGCAACAGCTAGTAAGATTGTTGTTGTTTTTGTCCAATTAAAATGCGGAAACGTTTCAATCTGTATTGATATCGTTATCTGTGATAGTTAATTCTAGTCTAACAACTTCTCTGTATCGAGTCCCCTTCCTAAGAACCCCGGGACACCAGGAAAACGGTCAATTTTAAATGTCCTTTCCTAACCTAGCAGAGGACCTAAAACAGAAAACGGGACAGTACGTTACTTTTGCCAGCCGCTAACATATTCTAGTACGACAATTTTGGCCTTGAGTAACGCATACGAACGAAAAACGACGTTCTTTGTAGGACAGGTTGATTCATCATCATTAACAATAAATTGGCGTGGCATTTTATGCAATATTTAAATATAGTTTGAGGCGCCTTGCTAGTCTCGCGTTGAGCGACTCACTGCGAGTCGCCGGCTTGTCTGTGGGCCCCGGGGCTCGTAGTTGCTACCCAACACATGCCAACCCGTAGACCGGTTTAGATAAGTTTTCCGTGCAGTCGAGTGTGCCAAAAGCAGAGGAAATTTAACCCCATCTTGAGCTGGTATGCTATGGGTAAACATCCACATCAAGTTTTTACACCTCATCAGTGAAATAGTAATTGTGTTAATTAAATCAACGATATTATAAATTGAATAAAGTCAAAATCAAAGCCTCTATGTATAAATAATATATGTATTGTAGTTGCAAAAGTAGATATTATGAATTTTATCATGTTTAATATGTCAGTGTGAAAATTCGGAATATAACAGTTATGTTAATTTCTAGCTACATATTTTGTATATGGATTTAAAGAAGTAAGAGAAGCTGAAGAATCGTTACGAATTTTAAAAGATCTAAAATATTCTAGCTGACAAACACACATCAGAATAAATTATATTAGAAATAATGTAAAGTGTCAACGGCATTTAACTTGTAAATCCAATTTATTAATGATTATGCAATCATATTACCACGTAAATTGACAGTGTCTGAACTTTGATCAAGTTGATAATACTGTCAGACTTGCCATATGGATTATAAACCTTGACATATTGAATAAACGAAGCTACCACACAACAGCGTCCCATAAGTACTGTACCAACCGGATTGTAGTGGATACGTGGGCCTGCGGGCCGCTCCAAGCAACTGTCTGTTGGACCAAGCTCTCACAAGTCAAGCCTGGCCGGGCTTGGGGAGTAGAACTCTCAGAACCTCTCCAGGTACAATCCAGGTATAAGTACTTGGAAAACATTACCATCATAACTTTCCTGACATGTTGCTCGTGTTATATGTTATATAAATATTGGTAGAGTAATTATCAAAATAAATCACTGAGCCGTTGTGGCAATACAACACTGATAAACATTTGTGGTGTCATCACAGCACATTTGTGATAGACCTATCGTCTATCACATCCCAACTCCTGCCAAGTGAGACATCCTAGCCAGAGAATATGAAGATCCTTTTATTGCTCGTAGAATTAGAACAGCCCGCAGGCCCACTTATGCACTACAGCCCGGTTGGTTCGGCACTTCTTGCTGAAAATTGTTCAGTTTTTTCTTGAAGTTGTAACGTAAGTTTACGTGTACGTGTTTTGATGATAAGACACAAAGAGTTTGGTGGTTTTTTTATATTGCTATTAAAACTTTCACTTTTGTTCCGGCAATATTTCTTACACTTGTGGGAGGATACTGAACAGTCGTGAACCTCTGATGTTCATACAATGTTCTCTGATTGTGTCTATGGCACATCTACTCTTCATTGGCTCTATTCTGCATTTCCTTCCAGATCGTTCACTCCAGTATGTTGTCATTTTTCTGTACAAATTAGTTGCCTGGCCCTCGAGTACCTACTAGGTATATATTAATTTGATACCTCTCTCGTCTCCTTTCTAGAGAGTACAAAGCCTAACGTGTATGAATACACTCTGGCTTATTATTATTATTATTATTATTATTATTATTATTATTATTATTTTTATTTTTATTATTATTATAATGTAGGCTGTGCTAATGAAAAGGGTGTCACATGAGTGGAATTATGAGATTAAATGATGAAATCGTATACAGTACTAACTTTTACTAGGAGGGGTACTCGGCAGTACCCGGAATAGTCTCTTCCTCTTCCCTCCTCTCACCCTTCTCTTCCCCCTTTTTCCCTCCAACTTCGAATAGACAGACATCTCCATTTATATATATATATATAAACAGACATCTCCATTTATATATATATATATATATATATATATATATATATATATATATATATATATATATATATATATATATATATATATATATATATATATATATATATATATATATATATATATATATATATATAACTTTTTAGACACTCAACTCAAGGTTGAGTGTCTAAAAAGTTATAAACTTCAGCTACTGGAATAGGGTAGTCTGTGCATATATATATATATATATATATATATATATATATATATATATATATATATATATATATATATATATATATATATATATATATATATATAGAAGGGGGTACCTGGCTGCACCCAGGTCTCGTTCCCCTCTCTTCCCTGCTCTTCACTCAGGGAGTAAAGAGCTTGAAGATCGCTACCTTAACTCCCTCGATCCCATGATCCCTCCCGTCGTCCTCCCTGCTTCCCTTTTTCCACCTTCTCTCTCAGAAAATTTGTATTAAGAAGCACCGAAACACGTGTATGGGTCTCCGATTTTTTTTTTAATTTATACATTAGGTACATTTGCATTTGTGCAGCTACCCTAGACTATATGAAGAGGAGTTCAGTGTGTCAAAAAGCTAGTTACGTGATGCTAAAAAGTCCCCATCACACAGGATGGTTAGTCATGCAGAGGCACTAATATATTTTTTGATCACTCAAACTAGCGAAATCACACAAAATATTTCACACTTGACTATGAAAATCACACGATGGCCCTCAATAAATGTTAATATTTCTTAGTTTTTAACTTATGCCTACCACGAACTGCCTATGTCTGTCCCGTACCCATGATCATTCCCCCCCTACAAAAGCAGATGAGGCTAGCCCCAAGCATCTGGCCTCCATCTTTGGATAAACAAGCATTCTCTCTTACAGTACAGATTTCAGTATTATGTTATGCTCAGAATGTGTTGAATGCGTCCCCCATTATGATTGGTACACACACATGAGGATAAGGTATCCAGCCAATAATCACCGAGATGGTATGGAGTCATTTTTGCACCATCCTATTGATTGGTGGCAGGATACCTCGTCTGCGTGTGTGTACCACCAATCACAATGGTAGATGCATTGTGCACATTATATGCAAGACATGCAATAAAACGGTAATCAAATATAAAAACCAGTTTCAGAAATATCTTGTATGGTTCCAGGCTTAGGGAACACCCTGTAGAATATTATATACAATTTTGGCAGCGTTTCTTAAGAAAGGATATTGCCAATTACGAATGTGTTCAACGTTTAGCAACACATATTTTTCTAAGACTTAGAAATAAATGATACGTTTAAAAAGAGATGAATCTATTCAGTATTGAAAGAAGAAAATTAAGTGGGAACAAAATAAAAATGATATATAAAACTATAGAGCATGACAATCTTGCCCAAGATAAAGATCATATTTGTACAATGTAAAACATAACTAGAAACAATGGTTTTAAAATTAAGACCAAACGTTTTCTCTTAAACGAAGCAAATTTTATTCTCGTTTTACTGGCTACCTGGCACATTGGTGTGATTGCAGGCAGACAAGCAATTCATGGTCATACATCATCTGAGCCCCAATGCATTGCCAGACATAGACTATTATGCTGTAGTTGGCATCCATCAGTCATAGGACACTATGGAGTTACGCTCTGGTTGTCGGTCTATTGTGCTGTAATTAATAGTTTAATAAGAGTTTCGCTCCTGTTGTCGGTCTATTATGCTGTAACTAACAGTTTAATAAGAGTTGCGTTCTGGTTATCGGTCTATTATGCTGTAATTAACAGTTTAATAAGAGTTGCGCTCTGGTTATCAGTCTATTATGCTGTAATTAACAGTTTAATAAGAGTTGCGCTCTGGTTATCGGTCTATTATGCTGTAATTAACAGTTTGATAAGAAAAGAGTGGATAACCATTCTCATGGTCCCATCACCTTGGACAACAAGCTAGGACAACGGCAGCACGTCATCAGCATATGTAAGCAAATGGGAAATTAGGAGGAAATTAACAAGAAATTACAGAATAGAAGAAGTAATGGGCAAGACAGTGAAAGTGTTGAGTGAAAGGATTGTAAAAATGGAGCAAACTTTCAGTGAGTATTGCCAGAAAAGAGAAACATCAGAAGAGAGGTACGAAAGGGTAGGTCTTATTTATCAATAGTAGTAACTTGAACGGTGATCTAGGCCAATTAAAGCTACCGGTTATCTTGAGATGATTTCGGGGCTTTTTAGTGTCCCCAAACCTACACACAGAAATAACATCACATGAGACCAGAAGACATGGCAGGATGTGCAGAATACCCCCGTTGAAAAGCAGAGGTGCAACAGGTACTCTGAGAGAGAACTCTATCAACATCAGAGGTCCGAGACTGTTCAACACGCTTCCACTACACATAAGGGGCATAAATGGCCGACCCCTCACAGTGTTCAAGAGAGAACTGGATAAGCACCTCCAAAGGATACCTGATCAACCAGGCTGTGACTCATACGTCAGGCTGCGAGCAGCCGCGTCTAACAGCCTGGTTGATCAGTCCAGCAACCAGGAGGCCTGGTCGACGACCGGGCCGCGGGGACACTAAGCCCCGGAAGCACCTCAAGGTAACCTCGAGGTCCCCGCGGCCCGGTCCTCGACTAGGCCTCCACCCCCAGGAAGCAACCCGTGACAGCTGACTAACACCCAGGTACCTATTTTACTGCTAGGTAACAGGGGCATAGGGTGAAAGAAACTCTGCCTAGTGTTTCTCGCCGGCGCCTGGGATCGAACCCAGGACCACAGGATCACAAGTCCAGCGTGCTGTCCGCTCGGCCGACCGGTAATCATATCAAAAACTTCATTCATAAATGGTTGTATATTTATGATTTAGTTGGTTTACAAACAATTTTAGTACATTACTTGCATAAGAGGAAGTCATAATAACTGTACAATAATTATATTCTTTATGATCTACAACAGGTTTATTACTTCTTTGAGAAAGTCAGTCTGCTGCCTGGTATTTGTAGTGAAGAAGTAACGTTTGCAGTTTCTTCAGTAACGTTATTAAGTGCGGCCTAACGTAGAGGTAGTTAATTACTTAATAAATTTAGCCTTAAAACATCGCTTGCTGCACTTGGTCAAGATAAGATTGCTTAGATATTTTGTTTTCATGAATCGTCGTTACCTTACGGTTTCAGGTAGTTTCATTTATCTTCATTTTTTTCCAAGAAGAGGTCATGATTCCCAGATACATAAGAATAACTTAATAAGGTTACTCCCAGGCCCAGTGGTCAGGCAAGCTTTCAACTGTTCAACTTATCGGGATGAAAATATACTGTTCAAATGTAGATTACACGGGGAGCCATTGACAGGCTTCGTGAATGATTCAGATGATAACAAAACAATAGCCGTGACAGTGGCTTCCCCCATATTGTGTCTGCTAGTTGAACAGTGTAACGCCATTGCCTCCTCCCTCGTCACATTTCTTTAGTAAGACCTTAAGTGTTTTCATTTATCGTGATATGATAAATTTATTGGCTGCACTGCTATGTGATGAGGCTGCCCAACCTTACATGAAATTCAGATCTGACTTATGGAAGCTTTCCTTTTTTAACTAATTCAGTTCATCACTTATTTGGCTTATTCAGTGTTTCGCATATCGTGTGTAACTTTGATCATTACATGGTGACTTGCGTATTTTTCGACCTAAGTGGCGGCAGACCCTTATGAATACCGAAGAAGAGGTGGTGAAGGGGGAGGAGGTAGTGGAGATTAAGGCAGGCGAGGACAAGCGACTCCTTGAGTGCTTGCAGTGTGATGAGGTAAGTTTATACTAAAAAATTGAAATTGCTAAAAATAGTTTTTTTTTTATTATGTGGTTTTAAGGTTTATAACAAATAAATCAGAAGGAACTAATAAATTTAATACAAAACGTACAGTATCTCGACCAATCAAAATATTGATTCAAAGCCACAATCAAAATGTTGATTCAAAGCCACAACAAAAATATTTATTGAAACATAACTCAAATTTAGAGTAAAGAGAGACATTTGAATTTATATAAAAAAATGACAATGAAGAAACGCCTATCACTTGCAATAAAATAATCTAATATCTACATCATCATGCGTTTATAAAAGGGTTTTAATGCAGTATATATCTCCAATTACTTTTAATTTTTATTTTGTGAAATGTTTGCTAATTATGCCAGCAGAAAACGCAAAGCCAGATTGACTATGTGGCAACTGATGGGGATATAGAAATAGGTAAAGAGTAGCGATGTGAGGACAGAGTGAAGGATGGATTATTAGGAGAAAGCGCCAAACCATTACGACTTTATAGCACTTGGAAAGGGTCAGGATATGGGATGGGATGGGGGTAAGGGACAGAGTGAAGGAATGGCACCCGACCATTTGCACTGTTGAGGATGGGACGATGCTGTCACGAGACCGTCGCTCTGCCTACCACTTCAAGTGGTTGTATTTATTTTGTAAAATTGGTCTTGTTTAATTTTTTTGTAATTTAGTCTTTCACTGTACGTTAATACATGATTTGTTACTTGAAATATAATTTTTTTGTTATATTTAATCTATTTTAGCTAAATCTAATTTCAGCAAACTAATCCTAACCTTTACTAAATAAATGTAACTACTTTCTTTAATCGCGATAGAGTAAGGTAATCAAGAGAAAGTGTTATTATTAACAACTTTATTGACAAAATTAATTACAATTTTGCCTAATCTGAGGATTTCAATTGTCTTATTAAAGTGAAGATAATGTTGGTACTGTATTCACTGTCATACAGGACAGAGGGTCATACACAAGACAATAGGTTTAAACTGTAGGCTGAAATAGCCTACAGTTTATACACACATATGTGTGTATATATGTGCACATATATATGTGCTTCTATATGATATATAAGCACATATATATCATGGTTACAATCAATGTTTTACTGTATGAATATGTAAAAACAACTTTCTATTGTGCACTGCCACACAAGGGCAGGGATGGGTTCATAAGTGATGCACCTTAGAAGTAATATAAATAAAATTGTTTTTTCATTCTTTAAAATGGACAAGCAAATTTTGAATAAATTGTTAGGATGTCGTCCAGAACACCTGAGTCAATGAAATGGTTACACAGTTGGTGGTACAATAGGCCAGGAGGTCTAAAATCTTCTACGGTTTCACATTCAACAATATAGTGTGTAGCTTTAAGCCAATATGACTGTATAGCATATTAGACACACTTAGAAAGGATATGGGGCAAATATATGGTAGCTGGGGTATGAGGACGGAATGAAAGAACACCGTCCTGTCTGAGGCGAGGCTGTCGCTCTACCAACCAGCCCAAGTGGATGGATTTATTTGGATTTAAATTACTCCAAACCAATATAAATATAATGTTCAAGAACATTAATGGAGTAATGTTCCTGATGTAGAATAAGAAAAAGCTAGCGATGAACAAGGCTAAACATTATACAACATTCAAGTTTGGCTTGCAAACAAGTGAGATAGTTGATAATTGATGAAGATTAAGCCACCCAAGAGGTGGTACGGGTATGAATAGCTCGTAACAGGTAGTTGCCACTAACTGGTATATATACTGTATCGCTAAGATCAACACAGGTGGGGGCAGTTACAGCCCCACTCCTGTGCCAGGTGAGTCTACTACGGGTTCACCATAGCCCGTGTTACTTGCAACCTTTTGTTCCGAGTAGCAGAGTCTTTAAGAACAACAAACAAAACACAGGTGTGAGCGAATCGCAGCAAAGGATAAATCTTTCTTCAGTGGAGCTCACAGGAGTTTGGTCTGGGGAGGGCGTAGTCAAATAGCTACTATTATTTCTTTATATCGAAATTATAAATGTAAATTGTTACAAAACAAATATAAATTGTTTGTGTACTTTTATTTACACTAGATGTAAACTATCTTTATATAATCACACTCATGAATCCAAGTTTTAATCTTTTGTTCAGACTATTTGAGACCTTGGTTGCACCTTCCTTTCAGTAATAAAATACGAAGAGATGTATATGAAAAAGGCAAATAATCATTTTGTTCATGAACTTGATGCAATTTGAGGGAGTTGATGCAGAATTCATTTTTGCAGGGGCAGCGTGGGAGTGGCAGCAGTAAGCGAGGAGGAGCTCCCGTCTCCCGCAGCAACACCACCAGCCAAGACCATGACAACTTACACACTCAACACAAGAAGGAAGAGCAGTCGCCTCAGTCACAGCAGCACCGAGGGCGTGCAATGAAGATCTCGGTCCGTGAGGAAGCAACCAAGAAGACTGCCACACTCGCCACAACACTCACCAGGTGAGAGGCACTAGGCAGTGTCACATGATACCAGTTCCCAGGTGAAACACCAGGTAGTGTGGCACTGTATGACACACTAGGCAGTGCCACACGATACAGTCACTGTATGACACACTAGGCAGTGCCACACGATACAGTCACTGTATGACACACTAGGCAGTGCCACACGATACAGTCACTGTATGACACACTAGGCAGTGCCACACGATACAGTCACTGTATGACACACTAGGCAGTGCCACACGATACAGTCACTGTATGACACACTAGGCAGTGCCACACGATACAGTCACTGTATGACACACTAGGCAGTGCCACACGATACAGTCACTGTATGACACTAGGCAGTGCCACACGATACAGTCACTGTATGACACACTAGGCAGTGCCACACGATACAGTCACTGTATGACACACTAGGCAGTGCCACACGATACAGTCACTGTATGACACACTAGGCAGTGCCACACGATACAGTCACTGTATGACACACTAGGCAGTGCCACACGATACAGTCACTGTATGACACACTAGGCAGTGCCACACGATACAGTCACTGTATGACACACTAGGCAGTGCCACACGATACAGTCACTGTATGACACACTAGGCAGTGCCACACGATACAGTCACTGTATGACACACTAGGCAGTGCCACACGATACAGTCACTGTATGACACACTAGGCAGTGCCACACGATACAGTCACTGTTTGACACACTAGGCAGTGCCACACATTACCAGTCACCAGGTGAGACACTAGGTAGTGCCATACAATTCCAGTTGCCAAATGAGACATTAGGCAGTGCCATGCAATACCAGTCACCAGGTGAGACACGACAATGCCACACAATCACCATATGTGGTACTAGGCTATGCCACACAATAACAGCAACCAGGTTTGGTACTAGGCTATGCCATTCATTAACAGCCACTAGATGTGGTACTAGGTTATGCCACAATACCAGCCACCAGGTGTTGTACTAGGCTTTGCCACAATATTAGCCACCAGGTAATACATTAGGCTATGTCACTCACCATCAAAGCACCCAACCAAATGGAACAGTAGGTTCTTCTGTCAATAGTCTACAATTCTTCTAGCTCTTCATTTGTATATTATACCTTTCAGTGTCCCCAAGGTACCAGTGCAGTATAATAATTGAGCTCAATAATTATTTACAGTAACTGTTAGGCTGTTATTCTTCAATATGTCTTTATGCTCTGGTATTGAATTGTGGTGATTAGGGGCAGTGTCATGTACAGTATAGAATATCAAAGCTGTGTAGTATAAATATTTATATGGGAAGGTAATATCTATGAATGTACACTTAACAAACTAATGGTATTTAAGACTAATGTAACAAATTACTGTATCTCATTTCTTAAATTAAAGATAATTTATAACATTTCAAATTTGTTGAGGATGCTGCACATTGGGTATGCCTCTTCTTCATTGGGATGATCAGTTTCATGCCAGTTTTATTGCAGGTTGGATCTAGGAACCCCATTCCAATTATTTATTTGGCTTTATGTATTAGCAATACAGAGGAGAATAATTCACACTCTTACTCAAACAATGTGTATCGGTAGAACACAAATGCCTCACTGTGTATGACTTCATACATAAAGACATGTAGAGTCACAGACGTGTGGAGTCACAAACAGGTGGCCACACAAACGCTGCATATACACAACCACCTAAATATTGTAGGGATATGCAAATCATTTTAACTATAATGTATTTGGACTTTAACTGTAATGTTAATTTAGGGTGAAATAGAATTTTATGATTTTCAACAGTTCAATTACCAGTACTCAATCTCACATGACTCGGTTTTGTTCAGTTAATCTCGGTAAGGTACATCTTAGCACTAACTCTTTTTGCCTTTTGATGACTAATACGGTACAGTACAGTATACTGCCTGTTGAAGACTTAACCTACACATTACTGTACCTCCATTTGGAAATGTTGTGTGAGGGGTGTTTTTAAATTTTGAAGATAAATACAGAGAGAAATTGAGAATAAATACTTGAGTGTTTGTTACATAAACCAAAACAAAGATGGAATGGTTGACTTTGGTGGGTTGGGTACATACTAGTCATTCATGTGTGCTCTGTAGGGGCAACTAGCACACTATAGTCCTCTCTCTCGGTAATCGCTCTCATAACCTTTACAACAACAATAAGAATAATACTTTATTCATAAGAATGTGCTTACAAAGAACATAAGGACAAAGGTACAATTGTAAGTGCAGGGAGGGAGAACGCATGTACAATGAAGTCACTACTATGCAAAGTGTTTTAAGCCAAGATGTTCAAGAACTATAGCAAGTGATACAAAAGATGGTAATGATGACAGGCATAGACTACTACATTATGGGATCTGTAGTTTTTAACATTATTAATAACTGCAAGGAAATAGAAAGGTGTATTTTAGTTAAGTCACAAGGACATAACATAGTAAATTAGTAAAATTGAGAGGCTTAATGGGGTGTAAATATTTAAAAATAAACAAGAAGTTAGATACCATATTTGACTTGTGTAAGCAATTTAACACAAATAAATGCAAATGTATGGCACGTAATGGAGAAAGGCATACATTTTTAGTAAATAAAATTTAAGATTACAGTAAAACATAAAAATTACTTACAACTAGAAATGAATACAAACAATTCAATATAAATATAATTTAAACTTTACACATCCTCACTTAAGCAAACTAATTAAAACAAAATTAATTTAGGTTAGGCAAAGTCCCGTAGGAAAAACTGTTAAAGCTTACCCAGTTGTGAGGTAATTGCTAAGCTGTGCCAGTTCCTCTACTGCAATATTATTGTAAAGAAATGACTGCTATCAAATTACTGTACTTGGTTGCCTTGGTGCTTATAATAAGTTTCAAATTTGTTTACAAACAATTAGTTTTACAGTACACTATTATATTTGGTCATGCTTGAAACAGTCTTAAATTAAGAAAATATTTTTTCAATAAGCATTAGGCTGGTATTTTTTTATAACAACACCTCCCTGTATATGCCAGCTAACCCTATGATATAAAATTGAAGAACAAATTGAATCCCATATTTTGCATTTCTAAAAGGTGAATCTTGGCTGTAAATCATGTCTATCTGCATGTGAATTGTGGGAGACTGAGCTCTAATAGAGTACCTGTACTCTAGCACTCTTACCTCTAGAGTACCTCTAGAGGTAACTCTAGCACTCTTACTCTAGAGTACCTAATTGGGCCTAACACTCCTAGACATAGTTCTCATGCTTGCTGGTATCAGAGTACACTACTGTACAAATGTATGCATATGCCATTAACAGGTTGTGACAGGCTTGAAAAGTATGTGGGTAAGCCAAAATAAGTCATGGAGACTTTGAATGAGACGAGCATGATGAACGCAGGAGCAGAAGGATCACATGACAGCAGGCACAGATGAATTTCATAGCCTGCTGTCGAATGATTATATTTATTAGCATCCTTTATTGCAGATGTAATTAAATTATTAGAACAGTACCATCTTCTCTGTCATGAGTAAACTGAATTACAAAAATAGATAAATGCAGTATTGCTATTCTATAGGTAATGGATATCTTTTTCTGTAATCCCTGGTTTGGCTGATATCTCAGATCCTACTCTTTGGAGGTACCAATACTGCTAATATTTAACATGTTTATCTTCAGTGTTGTTTACTAAAGCTGTTGAAAATTATAGAATAAATTACATGTGACATTATTGATACCATCTGTGATAATAGGCAATCTTTAGTGTAATATAACTTACAAAAGGAGACTTCTCTGGTAACCGGCATTGAATCCTGACCTTGGCAGAACTGTGTGGCACCCAACCTGTAGTGGGATGGGTCTAGTTGGTGTACAGCTGTGGTCTAGTGTGGTGTCCTCGGCCTGTGTAGTGTGTGCTCTTACCCCCCCTCCAAGCTTCACTAATCATACAAATAATCGCCTAATGATTTTGATCTTTAATTTAACTTATTTGATTGAATTATTAGTGAGTTAAGAGAAGTTTTTACATTTTATTTAAATTAATATTTAAATACTGTATTCTACTTACTATATTTAATAATTATATTGTGGAATTGAAAGCATATACTTTTAACTTCTTTATTTTTCACTTACATACAGTAATTTAATTTCTGGTAACAGTTTTGAGAGCCAAATGTTACAACTACTGTATATTAATGAATGAGAAATTCATGTTTTACTGTACCTTGATACTGAATTTTTTGTTAAATTGTGCAATAAAAAAGTGAAATAACCTAACCCATTTGCAAACAGTATAGTGCCCATATATATACTGTACTTGGGAGTTGCACACTAGTGGTGGTTTTAGCTACACAAGTTTGTTAAGGTCTAGACAGACGCTAAAACATTCCACTGTAACTCAAGTTCAGGGCATCTTAAGTGTTTTTTTAGTGGTTTGGTGGCAAAAACCACAGTATGTGGCAAGGTAAAGGTAGGTGAGTCAGGATAAACATTACTGTATTGACCTCATATTAAAACAAGTCACAACAAAGCCCTACACAAAAACTGGCATGTTCTATAAATTGGAAAGTCTATGCACTGATTGTTGGATGTTGGATGAATAATTAATTAATTTATCAACACAAGTCAGAAGGTAATTAAAATAAGTCTGGTGTTGCTACCTCATTTTCATTGATTAGAAACAGAGATTAGAAATACATGTTACTCAGACCACAACCAAATCAAAGAGTTTAAATAAAGTTCTGCATCTAATTGAAGTTCACACAAGTATGAAAAGTAGACCTGCATAACCAGTCTCAAATACAAGAGGAGGAGAATTCTGCAAATTCAATAGTAAACTAATTAACTGAAACTAGTAAACTGTGACTTCACAGAGATAAGCTGGAAAGAACAGCTTCACAATGCCAGCCTAAATCATTATCTTGAAAGAGTAGGCAAAGTAACACTAGATGAATGTTCAAGTCGCATACCACTAACGAAAGAGAGAAAAAGATGTAAATAGGAACGATAAGGGTGTTCATTCTGTAGGTACAGTATCTGGATTGTTCCTGGAGGAGGTTCTGGGAGTTCTTTTACTCAACCAAGCCCAGCCCCAGGCGCAAGCTTGATTTGAGAGAGCTTGGTCCATCCTATTGGACCAAGCTCTTTCAAGTCAAGCTTGGCCCCACTTGGGGAGTAAAAGAACTCCCAGAACCCCATCCAGATACAATCCAGGTGAAGAAAACATAGCAGAACCATAAAAACTATCACAGACTGTAAGCATCATTTGGAGATAGTGCCTGGACACTGTTGTTATGCCTGCTGCACTTAAAACAGCAGAAATTGTTCTTCTCAACAAGGAAGTAAGTAAAGTAGATGCAAAATATTATAGATAATAGCCTGAACATTTGACAAATGTTACCGTGGTGTTATTGGGAAAAATTGTGTACAAGAGGAATTGCTGTCAAAGTAGGAAGTTGGATCTTCAATTTCCTAACGAACAGAATCCAAAGAGTAATAGTCCATGTGTCATAACCAGACCATGAAAAGTTCACTTCTTCCAGGGTACTGTGTTACAGGGTACAGGGTACCCCAGGACTTTTCGTCATTCTCATTTTGGACATAGACAAAGACACAAACTATAGTACTGTATTGTCATATGCAGATGACACTAAGATTCTTCAGATAGTAGATAATACAGTGGACATAGCAAATGTATATCAGGTCTTCCAGTGGGCCACAGGAAACATGATGTTCAATGGAGATAAGTTCTAGCTACTCCACTACAGCACAAATGAAAATATCAAAATGGAAACTACATATAAAATGCAATCAAATCACACTTTAGAAAGAAAAAACAACATAAAAGATTTGTGAGTAATCATGATGGAATACCTTATTTTTAAAGAGCACAATTAAGTAGCTGTGACAGTTGCAAGAAGAATGACGGAATTTATAACAAGACCCTTTCAAACGAGATACCGAGTAATTGATGGTACTTTTTAGGACACAAGTGCTCTCTTAGAATGGAATATAGTTGCACAATAACAGTCCCATTCAAAGTGGAAAAATTGCTTACCTGGAGAACATGCATAGACAAACCTACTGATACTGTTTTTGGTTAACATCTCCATTGTATTACATGTATAGCTTCCATTCCAGTGTAAGTGTCCAGGGAACCACGACTTTATCCTAGGAATTTTAAAGGAAACCCTGAGCATGATTCATATAAAGTTCAAGTTTTTATTAATATGTTTATCTCAATATTTCATCTTCACTGAACCAATTCTAGATGCTGCTGCATGTGAATATTCGTGTGAATATTCGTAAATACATAAAACATGAAGTTACCGGTCGAAGGGAAGTTGAAGGGGAGCCGGTCGGCTGAGCGGACAGCACGCTGGACTTATCCTGTGGTCCTGGGTTCGATCCCAGGCGCCGGCGAGAAACAATGGGCAGAGTTTCTTTCACCCTATGCCCCTGTTACCTAGCAGTAAAATAGGTACCTGGGTGTTAGTCAGCTGTCACGGGCTGCTTCCTGGGGGTGGAGGCCTGGTCGATGACCGGGCCGCGGGGACACTAAAGCCCCGAAATTATCTCAAGATATCACCTCATATATTCAATTTTCCCAATTTTTACTGCATTATTAAGGTACATAATTATTTTTGTGTATAGTGGTACACAATTATTTTGAATTATCATATGAATTTTTTGTATTGCAAAAGTTATATGAGGCTTTAATTGTATTACACATTCTCACTTCTCTAAAATGTCTTACATTTTTTTTTCAGAACTCGATCGGGGTCCCGTAGTTCTGGAGGGGCAAGTCCTGCAACTTTGCATAGTAGAGTCCCATACAAGACTGCAACTGTTGCACCTGCACCTACAAAACTTTCAAATAAAACCAATTCGCTCAATAGGTTTGGTTTTCGTACTAGTGCACAGGTTAAATCGGGTGATAGCACAGACAGTGTGAATTCTATTCTAAGTGATGCACAGACAATATCTGATTCTAATTCTAATATTTTTGACCTATGTGATAATGACACTGAAAATAATAAAAGCACAAAGAAAAATAGTGACTCAGTTTCTTGTAACACTGTCTGCATAGAAACTCCGAGGAGGTTGGAATCACCCTCTGTAAAACTAAATAAATCTCCAAACTTAAATAATACTCCTAAACTTGGTTCTGGTTTAGAGTCAGGACGCCTAACGGCATTTACTCGCCAGCTACCAAAGCCTCAAGTAGTAACTGTAAAATCTGTCAGTCCAAAGATCCAAGCTCCCAGGTCGCATAGTCCTATGCTCAATAGTCCTGTTCCTCATAGTCCAATGTCAAACACTATTAAATCTTTAAGTCCTTCAGTCAGAGACAGAGGTAAAAGCCCCTTAGTAAAATCTCCATTACAAACTTCATCTAAGACTTACATAGACCAAACTTCCAAAACGAAACAGCAATCAGTAGGTAACAGTCAGCATTTACCACGTGTTTCTAGAGATTCTGAATCCTCTACAAGATCTACTACAGAAGCTGATTCAGGTCTTGGATCATCAAGTGAAAGTGATAAGATCCAAGGTGATGGAGAGACAGACACACTCATATCCTGTCATGTAGAAAGCACAGAAGATGTATCTGATGCTTGGTTAAGAGAGAAACTAAAAGCCCAAGAATCTGTGAAGAGACGATCTGGAAGTATTGAGGTTTGCTTCAATGGTACTGGAGAATTTGAACTAAAGAGACACAGTTTAGAAATGAAGGGAGCAGGTGTGACAGTTGCTGGATCTCCAGCTGCAAAATCAGAATCTGTAGCAGAAAAGAAACCAAAAACTAGTAAAGAGAAACGAGAAGGAACAATTACATATGGCATGGCTCGACAGAAGTTCGCACCGTATAGTAGAAATCGATATGGGTATGGCTACCAGACTACTTCTGGGAGGAGTGGGGACTCGTCTTCATCTAATAGTTCTAGTAGTCCAACATCAAATGTCACTAAAATCCCTGGAAGCTCAGGCCTAGTCAGGAGTCGTGTAGCCTCGCTAGAAATAACTCCAAATAAGAAGCCCCAACAGACACCAGTATTAAGAAGAACCAATTTAAAAAAGCCCATTATTAGACCCACATCTTTGGAAAAGACACCTCTTCTAGTCATGCCTGTTACAGAAAAGACAGTTGAATTAAGTAAGCCTGTTTGTCGAAGATTAGAGTACAGTGAGTGTAAAGTGCTTAAAAGTGATACACTGAAAGATTCAAACTCTGAAATACACCAGGGTCTAAACCCTAAACTCTCTACACCCAAGACAATGACAGGAGACATATTGATTGTTGGATCAGTTGAGACAGAAATGCATCAAGATACAAATATTGTAAAAGAGACAGAAAACCATGGCAGTTACTATGAAAATTCTTACTGTAAAATGATAAATATAGATAAGGATGATATACCTTTTGAAAATGATACTAGTAGTGATCTTACATCTAGTTTCAGTAAAGCTTCTCAAGACATGCATGAAACTGAAAAATTAATGATCGAAGAATCAAATGGAGACTTTTCACAATCGACTGATGCTGCAGACACATCAAATGATGTTACTGACTGTAGCTTTTCTGATAAGCTAGAAGATACTCTTGAAGGAGGAGATTCCAATAAACATATCCCACACACTCCAGATGATGTAGGTATGATAGCACTTACACCTCAGTCTGAATCTTCATTTGAAATCTTAGAATCTCTAAGTGAAGCAATAGACTTAACCATAGACGACATTAAAGATGATCCTGAGTACTCAATAACAGAGGCTGAAAGTGGCCATGATGGCAAGGCAGCCATTTTGGAAACCAAAAGAGAATCTGATGTGGATTCAGCTGCATCTCTCTCAGGATCCTCTATTTCACTGTCAACTGAAGGGACAGCAAAGCCAAGTGTGATGCAGAAGCCTAAACAGGTTGTAACAGCATTTGAATCACAAAATGTTCCTAGTGATTTTAATTCATTACCAGAACTTCCTTCCCAAGCACAAAATAGCAAAATTGAAAGTGTACAAAAATTGCCTGTTGAATCACCAATTGAGAAAAAGCCACTTTCTCAAATAGCATCTGTAATGAAGTCATCATTTGAATCAAAATCATCATTGGAGTTGTCAACTGAGTTACAAAAGTCCACGGGCATGGTGAATGTGATGGTTGAATCAGGTGATAGGTCAACGCTCTCGGGTATGTGTACCCCAACTTTAAATGCTGGTAGGGGGGACCTAGATCAAGATTTTCTGATTGATGATGAAATAGCAGACCAACCAGGGCTTATGTTTGGGGAATCAACAATGGCATCTTCTTTTTTCACCGATGATGGAATATTTGATGACATGACATCACCTTCGCCTAGTCATGCAGCCCTTAAATCAGGTAAGTTTAATTTAGTAGAAATGTTTTGTATCGGTAATGAATGACAAATATTTATTTGTAAATATTTTATTTGATGTTTTCACGACGAAAAAAAAATTAGGTACAATATATTGAACATGGAAACTGTACCGGTAGAGATATTATTTAAATTGGTTCCATTTATATGTGCAGTAGAAGTTTCTTATGTGCAGAATTTCAGTGTATTCACTATTAAATATTTAAAGCTTGAACAAAATCCTGAGCCATTTGCAGCATTGCTAGGAATGCAGTCAGGTAACTCATTAATATTATTAACTGTACTGTATAAGTATCGTATATGAACAGTATGAAAGGAAAATGAGAGTATGATTGAAAAGTCATGGAAAGAGTGTCAATCACACAACTTAATAATGGTCCAGGATGGACCAAAATGTTGTCGTTTCTCCATTTTCTGATGTGTGGTTTGGTCATCATATCTTCAGCCAATTTATTGTAACTCATCTTCTGCTCATGGAAAGAAAGCTTAGTTCTTTTATGATGCCAAATTTTGTCAAGAAGCATTTGAAAAATCTAGAGCAATAATTATTGTCTCTAAAATTGTTAAGAATGATATTATTTTCTAAGGTGATGTATACTCTAGTGAAATGGAATGGATAAAGTCTTTATTAGGTTATATTATTAGACTAAATATTTATAATGATAATACTTTAAATTGTGTAGGTACTGTACTCCAGAAATTTTTATACTTTTGGAATATTAACACTATAACAGTATACTCCGTTATTCTACTTCTAATTGTGTGATCTCTCAGTCAGTCTGCGCATCTGCTGCCCAGGGATCTGGTTCTACCTCGGCTCACCAGATTCAGGTTTCTGGTGAACTGGCGGAAGTCCCAGTTGGTCATGGTTCAAATTTGGCTGGGGCTCATGTGGGACTCTCAGTTGGCTTTGCTTTTCCTTCCTCCAGCTGCAGCACTGCTGTCTTTTGGTGTTGAGTCAGTCCCGGGTGACTCGACGGTTATTAGAGGTTGTGTGGGAGCCTGAACTTTGCCTGCATAGTTTATCCTCTGGGTAAGGTGCGGCCTTGGTGGCTGTACTGGTATCTTTTGGGCAGCTCTTTTTGTTGCTGCTGTGATCATTGGGTGCAGGCCCTGTTAGCTCTTCACTGTCTGCTGCATATCCAGCTTCCTCTTTGGGCTTTTTGGGTTCGGTTCCTTGGTGCCTTCCTTCACCCTCACTCGACGTCTTCATGGATGCCTCAGCTGTGGGTTGGGGCTTTGTGACCAATGCACGCCATGCCGGCCAGGGTCATTGTCTCTTCCCTTTCGTCAGGCACACAGTATGGTTTTGAGTTTGCAGCTGTGAGGCATGTGCTGAGGAGGCTTCAGATATCCCCCGGGCACCATGCTTCGGCTCCATTTGGGCAGTTCTCCCTGTGGTTCATTATCTCAACCAAGGGTTCTCTTCAATCCCTGTCTCTTTGGAGTTTGACACTTTGAGTAGCTCGTCTGATGGGTTCTCGGGATTTGGTTCTCTGCTTGGTTCACATTCAGAGAGTCTCCAACACACTCACAGATGGTCTGTTCTGGTTCTGTCCTGTTTCCATAGGTTGGTTCAGTGACATACTTTGCTGATTCGACCTTTTTCTTGGCTCTTTGCTTCTGGAATTTTTTAGACATCTTTATCGCCATCTTTACAGTGAGCAGGTGGCTTCTTTGATGGTGTCCCACCTGCACTCTTCTTCTTGCCATCAGTATGGGGTTCTGCTACTTCCTTTCCCTTCGTTATTGCTCTTCGGTTTCTGAACATGTGGTGCTCTCCTTTCATTATTTACGTTTTCTTGATTGACATGTAATGCTGGATATTGTCGCCTCACATTGTGTGCTGCTGGCGGAGTGACTACAGCTTGTATTTGGTGTTGATACTACCTTCACGCCATTTCACAAGCTGTCTTGCATCTTGTTTTCATTTTTGGCCTGCTTATTCGCTACCTAAGCCACCTGCCTGGTCTTGGACTGTGTGCTTGCTTTTCTTTCATTTTCTCATTTCACAGTGTTTCCTTCACCCCGAGATTCTTTTTCTAAGGGTATTTTTTTTCTCTTGTCTGAGCTTCACAGGAGGTACCAAAGCAAATCAGCATGAACTATTGAAGGTGCAGTGATGAAGAATAGAAACCACTGTAAAAGGACGAGTTGCCTAATGGGACCCGGAACGAATTCGAGGTAGAGCAGCCGAACAATCCAACTTGTATATGACAGGGGGATCAGAAAATTATCCCTCTGCAGAGGGAGCCAAGAACCATTTAGGGCTGAAAGGCACCCAAAGGCACTCCTCAGGCTTCCTCCACAATCTCTGAAGCCTGCCATGGAGGCCCCAGGGCAGAGTCGAAGTCCTCACTCAACCTCTTAAGACAGGAATGTATCCTTCCAAGGAGAAAGCTCTCGGGCAAGGAGACAGTTGTGAGTGCGAGCACCCTGAAAACCGAGCAGAACTGCTAAGCTCAACTCTGCCGCCAATGTGAAACGAATCCCTGGAGAAGATTGAGATACACCCTGAGCTAATCCCTGACCCGACTCCAAAACCCCCATGTGCTTTGCAGCCAGAATCAGTGTGTGTGTGTGTGTGTGTGTTTGGGGGGGGGGGGAAGGACACCAGAACAAGGTAAACCACACACACAAGGGAAGAAAGAGCTAGTGTGGGTTCATTTTATGTGCATCCCCCTGCACTTACAATTGTACCTTTAACCTATGTTCTTTGTATGTGTACTAATGAATGAAGTATTATTCTTATTGATGTTGTTAAAGTTATGAGTGATTACAGAGAGAGGACTAGTTTGCAAGTCCCCCCCCCTTTCCCCCCCGAGGCAAGGCCACCAACCCAGTGGACCAGCCTCACAGGGACGAATCCTCAAATACTTCATAGAGGGTAAACTCTGATTGTGCAAGGGTAGCGTTAGCAGGCTTACAAGGAAGAAAACAGAGTATATACAACCCAAAATGCACAAAGAGCCAAACCCCCACAACAAGCCAGAATCAGAACATGCACATGAAGCTACAGTAAAATTGGAAATAACACTAAAACAAATGGCCCCCACAGAACAAGCAAGTCCAAGGATGGCTGGCACTTAGCTTGAAGCTTTGTGGCTCACCCACAAGCTGGCATGACCAGAGGCACTACAAGTTGGTATGGGAACACCAATGTCAGGAACAGAACTGACTTGGGAAGATGGCTGGGAGCCAGGGCCGGGCCGGATAATGGTGGTAATCAGTGCTAATGAGTTTTGAGCTCGTTTGAGTGAATCCCTTGTTCCATGTGACTTGTTTGGCGCTTTTTCAAGGCTTCTGTGAGCCCTCCAGTTACAGTATCTGTAAAGCTGCACTGACTGTTTTTGGTAAGGTGGCAGTTTGTCACCTGCTGTCTGTGCCTCTACAAGGGGTCTCTGGTGCCTGGTAGGCCAAACAGAACTAGCCACAACTGATGTGACATCTTAGTATGAAGTAATCTCAGGGAGCCACTGGGGCTCCTCCAGAAATTGGCATTTTGTTACATTCAATGCTGGGTTTTTACCTTGCAATTGTGTGTTTTGCTTCACCTACTTTCTGGGAGTTTGATTCTTTGATGAGGATGACCATAAATCCCTTACTCTGTGTCTCTTTGAGGTGGGGGGCTAAACTTTGACTTTTGGTCGCTGGTAGGCCTATAATGACAGGCAAGGGCTGATATGACTTGTATGTGTGGAGCTAACTCAGTGCAGCAAATGACAGGGAGCCACCGAGTCCCTCCCCCCCCCAAAGAAAGACGCTTCATTACATTCAACTTCAGACCAATTGCAGTCTCATGTGTCATGAGGTTGCTATAATGCTACCACATTTCTTAAATCACAGAAAGGATCTAATGTACATGGGCTCCATATTGTGTTTTGATAAAGCATTGCATTGCCACATCCTGTGAGTCATGTTTTACAGCATTGCTTCCATGATTGTTTGAGAATGTATGAAGTATTGCATTATTCTTTTAATTTCATTAGAGATAGCCAGTAAATTTTGACCTCGACATGTGATAACTTGCAATGGGAGCCGAACAGTGTAACTGTAACCAAACAACTTCACCTGATGGCTGCTGAAACGAAGAAATTGAGTGTTTGTGGTTATATTCCATGGTATAGTGACTTCTGAGCTACCCAGAGAGAGAAACAGGGGAGAGATGGAGAAAGAGATATATGACTGAAAGAGAGAGACATCTGTTAAGAGTGTCCAATGTGTGAAAGCTGAATATCCATTTACAATGCTTCAGTAGAGTCAATATTCTTTATTACTACTGTATATTGAATTTATGTAATAAATAGGTGATGATATCATGTCAATATTTGTTTGTATCTTGTAGCATTGGCAGACATGGGTCGAAGTCGAGCTGACAGTGTAGATACAACTTCTAGTCTTGGAGCAGATGATCTCATGCTAGATTTTGATTCTGAGGAAATTAAAGCAGGAGGGTAAGTTTTTTATCCAAAATTGTTCTGCATTGTGTAAAACTGGAATGATTTGTATTTGGGAAGTCTGTTAGAATTTAAGAGCCTGGCTAATTTAGAAAATAAATGTGATGGTTTGAGATGGCACAATTTCTTTCTGGCAACAGGCAATATTTTATGCAAGTTTTTAAGTTTCATCATACAGTATTTTTTAATAACTATTGCTTTGTCATGCCATGGAGCCATTGTTGAAGTGTCCTTTGTTTTAGACAGTATTGTACTGTAGTACATTGTCATTTGTTGACATTTCCAGTTATTGTTTTATTTTCTAGATTTATTTCTTGTACTGGTTTTGTGTTGTACTTTGTTATATTCTATTAGAATTATTTTGTACTTTGTTTCTTTCCATAATGTGCTGCAGTTTAAATTTTAGTTGCATGTTGTTTTTATATTTATCCAATGCATGATGACAATGATTATAATTTATGAATTTCCTGCCAGTAGTTCAAATTATTTTCTTGCACATGTTTATTTTTATTGTTTTTGTTTAGCCTTATGAATTTTTGCTGCATGTTTGTTAATATTTTGTTAAGCTGTTCATTCAAACAGTTTGTCTAACAGGTCCTCTAACAGTTCGTCCCTCAGTGTCAGCCTCCCTGGAACTCTAACTGGGGCGCGACCAAAAAAGATGCACCTACGCATAACCATTCCTGGACGAAGGTTCGAGTCTCCTGTTGTCAGTCTGTCCATAGAACCATAAAATAGCATAAAATAGCCGTCTGCTGTGTAGAATATGCTGCTTCCATAAGAACCTTTATTGTATACTGTACTGTATATGCATGCATGCAGTGTTTTTTATATATATATATATATATATATATATATATATATATATATATATATATATATATATATATATATATATATAATAATGTATGTATATATATATACAGTATATATGATAGAGAGAAAGGGGAATTGGTTTATAAGGAGGGAGTGAATGTATTTGTCCTATATGTGACAGTTCGTGAACAGTACTGTATACCTGGTCTAACGAAGCAGTGCGAGTCTTCTGTATCTGTGCACAGTGCTGGAGTGTGGTGGTGCTTCTTTATTCATTACAGTTTTAGCTTTTTAACGCCTGTTGTGCAGTATAGCTTTCAATATTTTATTCACGTCTTTGCAGGGCTAATGCCTCTCTATCCCAGGAAAGTGGCACACAGGTTAATAATAACAAGATTGATCTACAGTATTTACAATTTGCTAGTTTTCATATTGACTGCAAACTTTATTAGCTGTTATATCATACATTTAGTTCAAAGGCTTGGAAAATGGCAAGATTCCTTTTGGTTTTTAATCCCGTATGTAAATAGAGTAGTAACTTAGTGTAGAAAAAACACAAAAATGTCTGTATAAAATTAATTAATATGGGCTATCTGGGCTATTAATATAGTGATTGTATTTGGGTGGTTCCTATTTTTGTCAAAGACTTAATAGTTCAAAAAAGTAATTGTTGTTTTTAGATGATTGTTTTCCATGAGATGCTGCACATTGTTGTGAAAAATTATATGTAGTTCAGTATATTTAATTTTTCAAGGTGATGATATAGAGTAGATGCAGTGTGTGTATTATGAATAATCTTTATATTTATTCTTTTGCAAGGTATGATGATGATGTATTGAGTCCAGATGCTAATGAGATATTCAGTGAGTGGACAGCAATGATGGCAGAAATGGGCGGCACACTTTCAGATCGGTGAGTACTTCTTTGCTGTTAAATATAGGCAGGCAGGAATTCTTGACCATTGATAAGACAAGTAAAATTAAATAATTTACTTGTAACAGTTTTCCCAGCTAATGTGGCTTTGTAAAATACCTAGCAAGAAGTAACTTGGCTCTCATGTGTTGGCCAAGAACTTCTGCTGACCAATTTTTGGTAAGATGATGCTGGAGATTTAATCAATATTTTGATTATTTTAAACTTTAATGCTAAAATCAGGTACAGGTGAGCTTGTACTTTGCTTTGATGTCCAAAGGGATTGGAAAGGATGGGGGGAGGTAGAGGCATGGGGAGATGAAATTCAGGAAGAGGATGCGGGTGTAGAGAGAGAGGAGGTTTGAAAGTTCGGTGGCCTGTCCACCATGGGTTGACGTGTGTGTGTCGTTTGTTTGCATATGTGTTATGTTGGGTTGTCAGTACATTGGCTGGAGGGGCTAGTGTTTGTGATCTTGCTTGTATATATATTACTCTCATGTTTTTCAATAGTAATGATGGCACACCACACTCAAAATGTCATTCATTACACAATTTCACAGTTTCACAAATTTACAGTTTAGTATTTTCTGATATAAAAAGCTTCTTCTTCTTTTCTGGAAAGTGTTGTGATGTACTTTACAGCGGACAAATGTGGGGAGAATCTGAAAATTTGAAGAATAATATAATGTTTGATTTATATATTCTTGCGGGTGCTCAAATAGACACTGAAAAAGTAGTAAGTAAAGCATGCACTTCATGTTGAAAAGTGCATTTCAGCTGGCTGATAATATTATACAAAATGTTCGAGTCATGTAATCAAAGCAGGTTAAATATGGGTGAGAAATGGCAAGAAAGATTAAGTATGAAGAGAGTAAAAGATATGTGAAAAGATAAATTAACCAGAATAGACTGAGAGTGATGATGGCGGTAACCATAAAATTTTATCCAGGTTTTCCAGAATATGGAAAGTTATTTTGGAATGAAATTAAAAAGTGAAACAAGGAGATTGGTGAAAATTAAAAAGTGAAACAAGGAGATTGGTGAAAATTAAAAAGTGAAACAAGGAGATTGGTGAAAATTAAAAAGTGAAACAAGGAGATTGGTGAAAATTAAAAAGTGAAACAAGGAGATTGGTGAAAATTAAAAAGTGAAACAAGGAGATTGGTGAAAATTAAAAAGTGAAACAAGGAGATTGGTGAAAATATAAAAGATATACAGTACTGTACATATAATAATGTTAACTGGTGAAAAAGCTATTAGAGATAAGTGGAAAATTTGATGGGTTGAAATGTTAAAAAAAGTGCAGATGTGAAAATAATCTTGGTGGTGTGACAGGAGGGCAAAGTAGATTGCCAGAATATATATTCATGAAAGGTATAAGCACATGAGTGCAGACTCTTAAAACATGGGGGTGCTCCTGGTGTTGATCATATATGTACTCCTCGCTGTCACCGCCCCCTCCCACCTTCACCCCTCACTGCCCTCACCCCCCTCCCACCTTCACCCCTCACTGCCCTCACCCCCCTCCCACCTTCACCCCTTCTCCACCCTCACCCCCTCATACCTGCACGCCTTCTCTACCCTCACCACCCCCTTGCCAACCTCACCCCTCGCCACCCCCTTGCCACCCTCACCCCTTGCCACCCCCTTGCCACCCTCACCCCTCGCCACCCTCACCCGCTCCCACCCTCACCCGCTCCCACCCTCACCCGCTCCCACCCTCACCCTCTCCCACCTCGTCACTCTCACCCCTCGCCATATAAAGATAAAGTGTGTTGAGGGTGTTGGTGAGGAGGAAGCGTGCGTGACCAATAAAGGCTGGTGGGGTGTGGGGCATGGTGGTGGTGGTGGGAGGGAGGCGGCGGGAGAGCAGTGCTGGAGGGAGGGAGATGGTATTAGAGTGCATTATAAGTCTCCCCTCCCCTCCCTCCCCTGCCATTGGCGCCTCCACAGACCCCCCATATCCCCAGATCTCCAGTATTGATACAGATGATGGCTCTAAAGAGCCTTCACTTACGGGGCTCGCCATAGCCCGTGCTACTTTGAACTTTTTGTTCCGAGTAGCTGAATGTGAAACAATACCTCCCCTCCCCCATCCCCCAGCGGAGCAGCTATAATGTGGGTGACTTAGTGTGCACCGTCAGTTGCTCGTGAACACTGAGCGTGTGTGTGTGTCGCTCTGCTCCTCTGGCGAGGGTTAGCCCCTTGTTTCTTGTGTGTAACCTGCCGGCACTGCCGCCTCGAACTCTTGACTAGTAAATTTGAAACTGTTTTCACTGGGAATTCAAGTGAAAGTGAGTTTACGTGTGTGGTAAAACTTGAGGGCTGGGATTGCGTTGAGTGGGCGCGCGCGCCTCACACGCTTGGCCTGCGGTCTCTACATCACTTGTATACTCAAGATGCTCTACCAAGTGTACAGAACAATACCAAATGTACATTTACCCGCTACTACATGACGAGGCGTCCACACTAAACATTAATTGTGCTCTAACACATGTGACCAATTTGATTTAGCATGTTTAAGTGGGGATAAGTGGAAGGCTTATCAGACGGGGCAAGTTATCTTTCCCGGGCTCTAGCTCCCGTCCTCCCACGTGCGTCTGGTATGTGCAAGTAGCGGGCTCTCATCTGTGTGGTGGGGGGAGGGGGGGCACGCCTATATGCCATGAGGAAATGACATTGTGAGTAAGGGGAAACGAGCGTATATCATGTGTTGGGGATGTTTGGTGAACGTGTAAGGGACACGTGCAGTTTGTGTGTGGCAGTAGGATGACACGTGTGTATGGTGTTTATAACCCGGTACGAACGTGTAGCATATGTGTAGTGCACGAGCTGGTGTTGGTGCCACGTGCTGCCTTGACCTTCACCACAACCACTTCCCTGCTCCACTCACCCCCCCACCCACTCCCTCCTCCCCACCCCATGAACCCACATAACACTCACTTGTACACACTCACCGACACACTTGGACTTTCACTCGCCACCATACTGACTGACTCACCGCCACTTGTCACAACATATCCGTACACACTCATGCACTAGCACCCTCTTAATGATAACAACTTACACACTCCAAGGCACTTAATCTAGGCACTCAATGTACATGGTGCATATTAATCACACTTCATCCATACACCCAAGGGACGTAGCTGACACTGAATCTACACAAACACATTCGGTTCACACCCTCTGGTACTCACATTTGTCAAGGCTCTCATCCCACACACTTCAGACTCTCATTTTCCTACACTGGTTCAAACACACCCGTGGTGATATCACCTCTGCTTCAGGAACCCGCGGTGCATCCGTCTTTTTCCTATTAGACAATGGAAACCCCAAGTTCAGAAGATTTGTGTTTATTGCAAGCGAGAGATTTCAACGCATCTGGAATGACATTCCAAGTTCCCTTGTATTGATAGCATCTGATATTTGTGTGTTTGAGCATGTGATCTAGAAGAGAAGGTTTTAACAATGGACGGCTCCAAACATGTGACTATAAGAGCCTGGGGCCCAGAGCCACACTTGATATATGGTCACTGAGAGACAGGAAGTTGGCTCACTTGTCACCTTCCGCTCACCTCTTCAAGTTTCAAGGAAATCTTTGGGAATTCCAAGGCCGTATCCCTAGCCCGGTAGAGAATGTATATACTGTACCTTATCTCCGTAAGGGTTCGCCGTGTGGGGTGAGTGGATGGGGACGTGGTGTGTTGAGGGGGTTGTGAGGTTATGAGGAAGTGTGGGGAGAAGGGGGGGGTGTCTCCTCTTTCCCGAATCTTATCCAGACAAATGTAGTAAGATCCAGCTCTTCAGTCTTCCCTCATACACCAATCTTCTTAGTTATAAAGTGTTTACTTCTAGTTTTGTTTCTTCTTTTTTAAATGGTTGCTTCATGCAGGATGCGCATACTCTAATACTGGTCTCATGTAGGTAGCCTAGTACGCAGTGCTCTGAGTGGCTCCCTGTCCACAGTGCTGGCAGCTACTGCACTTGACTGACTGATAAAGATTAAGCCACCCAAAAGGTGGCACGGGCATGAATAGCCCGTAAAACTGCACTTGGCTGTTTACCCAATTTGTATATTCCTCTAATGTGATTATATTGTTAATGTGTCTCTGGAGACTGGCTTTGTATGTTTATTTATAATTCCTCTTTTAATTTCGGGAGCAGCGTTCCCCCTCAGGGACTGGTGTAAGGTTCCTTGTGATGTACACCCTTTTTCAAGGCCTTAGGCTGCCTCACCTTCAATCTATATATTATTACATTTGCTTGACCACCTCAATTATTACGGGCTCGCCATAGCCCGTGCTACATGGACACTTCGTTCTGAGTAGCTAAATCTGAAACAACAATTGACCACCTCACTATGATAGCTTTGTACTTACCGCGATTGAATTCAAAACGCCATTTGTCTGATCAATTACGTTGTCTGTTTAGGTCTTTCTGTAGTAGTTTGCTTTCCTTGTGTCTCATTACTTTATCATTTTCAAGTAGCAAAATGAAAGAATTGATTCAATGAAAGGTTATTGACATCAGAAACAGAAGTGCTCATTACCGAGTCCTGTGAGACATTATCCGGCTACCTTCATTCTTAAATCATGGTATTTAATGCCTGTATACTCTGCCTATGTGAGATAATTGCTGGAGAATACAGCACAAACATGAAATACACACCATTTGTAACACACAATTTAGGGGGACGAAATTGAGGGGATATAATCACTATATACAAGATACTAAGCAGAATATACATAGTGAACAAGGACAGCGTATTTAAATTGGGAAGAGGTACAAAGGAATAGTGGTAGAAGTTGAATGCACAATTTAGTCAGATATCTGAGGACATTCTCGTATCTTGTTCTGGTGGTTGGCAAGTGGAATGCATTGAAAGTTGTGAAGCCATTTCAAGGGAAAAATACGACCATAAGTTGAACGTAGAGAGATGTAATGTGCTTTCCCGTCCTCTGAATAAATACATATCATAAACGCTTACTAATTTGTTG